AATTTTCCAGCCGGTTACGTTTCCTGCTACAGCTTGGGTAGCCAACGTGAGGTCTAAGTGCGACTCTGAAGCGCCTCTGACGAACGTCGGTTTGTTGCCTTCGTTGCAGACTGCTAGTCCTAGTACTGCCAACATGTCTGCGAGTGCCCGTCCTCTGTGATCCTCAAATGGGCTTCCCCATTCCGGGGACTTCGAGTTAAAATCGCCTGCTATGACTACCGGMACCGTGGCTCCCCTAACGCTCGCTTCTAGGCCGGCTAGGAAAGCCTCGAATTCCGGGAATCTTATATTCGGTGAGATGTAGCAGCTATAGAGTCGATAGCCTTTTACCTCGAGCCATCTAAATCCCGGCGATGGTGGTCCAATTTCGTCTACTGGGATGTCACTTAGAATTGCGATGGCCGACCTGCGATTTGCATCGGAGTACCAGCGACAGTCCTCGCCACGGTCATGATGATGTTCGCTAATAATTAGAACATCAGCTCCGACTTCGTTCGCGGTCACCATCACCAGATCCTGCGCCGCTTTGCACACTCCAATGTTAATTTGGAGGATGCGGGTCATGATGACTTGTCAGTTTTCAGTCTAAGCTCGGCAATTGCCTCGACTGCTCCGGCCGGGTTGGACTCTGCTTCCTGGCCTCCCGCTTTACCGTCTTCCCTACCAGCCCTGCAAGTTGCCGCCAGTAACTTCGTAAAGGACAAAATGTCCTCCTTGGTAGCCACACATGTGTTTACGAAATGACCAACCTGTCCGCAACGCCTGCAACACCCCGTCCTATCAGGGCCACAGCATTCTTTCGCTGTGTGGCCATGTGCCAGACACCGAAAACATCTAATTTTCGCGACGCAGAGCCTGACGCCGCAACTCACCATTCCCACCCTTAGTCTCCCTTGTTTCAAGATTGCTTGCGTCACTTCTTTGGGCGCAGAGACCAAGGCAAGCTGTGCTCCACCGAAGCGCTTCCTCAAACCGGCAAGCCTTAGTGCACTCGTGTCGCAACCTGTGGCCAATGCCATTGCCGCAAGCACTTCAGGTCCGTCTGACCATTGRTCCAGGTCTCTGACCTCCAGCAGCTCCCTCTGCTGTAGAGTCCTGACACCAATATCGGATCCTGAAGATCTCGCGATTTCTGCTCTCACCGCATCCACCTCTTCTGTGCTGCCACGCACCTCGATGAGGAGACCGCCAGATTTAGCTTGCCACATGCCCACGACCCGGTTTCCTATTATGTCGAGGCATGACTCGCCACGGATTTTTTTCGCCAGCCCGGGAAAGTCCTCCCTACTAACGTCCACCAGGATGGCTGGGGGGCGTGTTTTAGTTCGCTTCTGTGCGGGCTCCGTTTTGGCTGTTTTGTGTGTTGTTGCCAATGTCGGGGGGGTCCGTCCTTTTGAGTTCCTCTCGGGTTGGTCGCCATCTGTCTCAGCTTTCTTCCCGATGGGATTCAGCTTTTTCGCCGGCTTCTTCCTCACCACCTCCGTCCATAACTCTGGTCCACCGTCCATTCTATCGCCTCCGATGTTGTCCTGAGGCATAGAATCCCACCAACAGGGACTCTGTGTCGCGGCGTCACTAGTCGTGATGCACGAAGGGTGTATTGCAGATTCCATGGCAGCATTCTTGGCACTAGCTGTTGCGGCACTGAACGCTGACTCTTCTGATTCTTTCAACATTTCTGCAATGTTCTGGCGCTGTTTGCGTGCGCCTGTGGCTTGTTTAAAAGCATTCATTGCTTCCGCGAGAGCCGTTTGCACAGGTTTCGCAACATTCTTGGCTTCTCTTACCGCCTCGAGCATGTTCAGAAGCCTTCTGCCCACTCTATCGAACCATTCCCTCTCAATTCTGTCCGTCTTTTCCAGGGTTTCGCCGAGCTGCTTCTCCGACATCTTCTCCGACTTCGCCTTGTCTATCTGAGCCGACTGGATGTTACTGCCGCTGGCAATTAGCTTGTCGGCTAAGGTCTCAGCTCTAGTAGTAGATAGAGCAACGGGGGCCTGRCTGGCCACCCCCGCACCCTCACGGTCGTTGGATGACGACCGTAGTGGGCCCGCTACGTTGGATCCGGCTTTGGCCCCGGATCCACCCACTACTGCCGGCACCTGGGGGTCCGAATCCCCTGGTGCGGTAACCAAATTTCTGTTTTGAACGTCCATTTGTAGTTTTTATAAAGGGTGCCTCTCCCTTGCATTTTACCTACTGCCAGGGGATTTTA